ATTTTCAAGGTCCACCATTTCTTACTTCTTTTCAGTCGGGTCAAGTTTCTAAGCTTTCTAAATCTCCATTTTCCAGCTAATGAAAAGACAATAGGATTCCACCGAGTCTCCTATCTACCTACTCCAGGACTTCTGTGAGGACCAAATGAGATGAGGCATGGGAAAACGCTTCAGACATTTGGTTACAGTGTAAAATGTTTCTGCCTGGCTATAAAGCAAGTCGTGTTCCGCTGGGCGTTACTACATGATGTCATTGCCTGGACAGACACAGCATATTAGCCTTTTATATATATAGATTCTAGTTTGTTTATGCTTGAAATTTCCCATAAGAAAAGGTTTACGAGAGAGATGATAATGAAAAAAAAATAACTGATAGTATTATTTATTGAAAGAGCATCATGTTGTTATGTAAACATTTGACGTGATGTAAGCATTTTTCTTTCATAGGTAGCATTTCTAATGCTGCATAATATAATATGGCTGTACATTATTTAACCCCTCTATCATTAGAACCTTGTAAAAGCAAATTTTTTTGTTTGTTTTTACAAAATTTGTGATGAATATGCTTGGGTATAGAACTTTCTTGGGGGAGGGTTATGGAACTTTTAGATTACATTTTGTGTTTTCTTATGGTACATTATCAGAAATTAGATTACTAGGTCTTTCTAGCCATCAAAATTATAAAACAGTAATAGCTTGCTTCAAGAGGTTATAAGATTGAAAGCATACCTATCAGGATATTGAAGAGGGATTTCTTTATCAGATTGGATATTGGACATGGTACCATTACACCTCCTGATCACTCATTGATTCTGTGAATCTATTAGAGGGCTGCGTGATCTGTCTGTGATACTGATTTGGTTTTGGTGAGAATCAAGCTGAGGGTCAGAGATTTGAAGCATTAATTAAAAGTTTCAGCCCAGCCAATGTGGCTAGGTGGTTGAGCATCGACTTATGAACCAAGATGGGATTCCTGGTCGTGACACATGCTCAGGTTGCAGGCAGATCCTCAATAAGGGGAGTGCAGGAAGGAGCTGATCGATGTTTCTCTCACTTTGATGTTTCCTCTCTCTCTATTCCTCTCCCTTCCTCTCTAAAATACAAAAATAAAATAAAACTGGAAAAGGATAACACTTAAAAAAAATTTCAGACTGGTTGCCACAGATGCATTCTGAGCAAGTGAAACTTGACATCTTTCTTGCTGTGTACCTTGGTCTTATTTTCAGGATATGCTTCTATCTTCCTTTATATTCATATCCAACCCCCCATTTTCTGGTGAAGTATACATGACTTATTCGGTGTTTGTTCCAATACTTTCTGTGGCTGTGAGCCATTGTTTCCCCCTCCCCTATGCCACTTGTCCTCCAGAGCAGCGGTTGCCAACCTGTGGTCCCCACTGGTGGTCCGTGAGGTCCGAAAGGTTGCCGACCGCTGCTCCAGAGGCTCTTGAGCCCTGTGTCATACATCACAGGCAATAGCCAGTTCACTGGGTAGGCTGGGGGGCTGTTTTAGGGGTGAAATCAGGACTCTCAAGCTGCCTTATTCCATCCCCCAAGGTTTGATGATTTTTTTTTCCTCCCCAGGTAATTAAATGTATGTCCTGCGGACCTGGGCTTTGCTGGAATGCTCAAGGGTTCTGAAGATCTTTATCTAGCTTCCTTCTGTTGAATTCATTAAGAGAAGATGGCAAAAGTCAACATAACTAGAGACCTCATTAATAGGCAGATCAAGGTAAGCCACCCAAACCTCTAAATCAGAGCATGAGGTCCTTTCTTCCCCACAGGTTCAGTTTTTAGCCAAAGAAACTGCGGGTTAGAGTTGGTGACTTGCCTAAAGTCACATAGCTAATTAGTGACAGACTCTGGACTAGAACTAATAAAATTCATGGAGACTCTCCTGTCCAAGTGCTTGTACCTGGGTCGCTGAGATTAATACAGATTAGTGAGAGAGGGAAACCATCAGTATGGTGTGCATGTGTATGCACATTTGTGTGTGTGTGTGTGTGTTTGTGTTTGTGCGTGCTTGGGCACATGCATATGTATGTGTGGAAGTTGCAGCAGGAGTAAATGTAGCTTCTTTGTGCTGCTCCAGTTGCTAATTTTTTAAAATATATTTTTATTGATTTCAGAGAGGAAGGTAGAGGGAAAATTGTTGATTGGCTGCCTCCTGCGTGTCTCCCACTGGGGATCGAGCCCACATCCTGGGCACATGCCCTTGACTAGCATTGAACATGGGACCCTTCAGTTCACAGGCTGACACTATCCACTGAGCCAAATCAGCCAGGGCTCCAGTTGCTAAATTGAACATATAAGAACCTGGGAGAGTCTTAGTCCCAGTTCAGCTTAGACTCTTTCTTCTCTTCGGGGGTCTCCTGTACCAAACAAAGCCTGCACCTGTCCTTTGCAGGATGTACATAGAAGACACTCCAGTACTGTGAGATGAGTGGATGATTAGGGAGTCAAGTTCATTTAGAGAGGTAGCCCAGACTTTGTCAGGGAAACCCTCAGTAAAGGAGCACAGGGGTTTAATGCACACCAAACCATGATGTGCTTCTCTAGTAAGAACCCTAAGCTGGGCCTGGCCAGCATGGCTCAGTGGTTGAGTATCGACCTATGAACCTGGAAATCATGGTTTGATTCCCAGTCAGGGCACGTGCCCAGGTTGCAGGGCTCAATCCCTAGTAGGGGGCGGTGCAGAAGGCAGCTGATCAACGATTCTCATTGATGTTTCTATCTCTTTCTTCTTCTCCCATCCTCTCTGAAATCAATAAAAATATCTCTATAGCCCTAACCGGTTTGGCTCAGTGGATAGAGTGTCGGCCTGCAGACTGAACGGTCCCAGGTTCGATTCCAGTCAAGGGCATGTACCTTGGTTGCGGGCACATCCCCAGTAGGAGGTGTGCAGGAGGCAGCTGATCGATGTTTCTAACTCTCTATCCCTCTCCCTTCCTCTCTGTAAAAAAATCAATAAAATATCTCTCTATATATAAAAGGCTAATATGCAAAGTGTCCCCTTGGGAGTTCGACAGGAAGACCGGGAGTTCGATCGCTCGTTATGACGTGTGCTGACCACCAGGGGGTGGTGCAGAACAAAGAAAGGCCCCGGCCGGCAGCCGAAAGGCCCCAATTGGCCCTGATCACTGGCCAGGCCTGGGGACCCTACCCATGCACAAATTTCGTGCACCGGGCCTGTAGTATATGTGTGTGTGTGTGTGTGTGTGTGTGTGTGTGTGAACCCTAAGCTGGGGTCAGGAGCTAAATCTCACCACCACCCTAATTAGCTGCCTTAGAAGACTAGTCATTTTACCTCCTGTGCCTCACTTTATGTTGTTAAATGATAGTAACATCTGTCTGCCTGCAGGCTGATCTTGAGAATGAAATCCAAAAGAACATGAGAATGTTCTTTGAAAATGTTGTAAATGCTAAAAATAATTTTAATTAAAAATCTTTTAAATGTAAGTGACCACTTTAAAATATAAGTGGCCACCATCCAGAAAGATCGAGTGTATGCCTCTGTGGGAGCCATGTACTTTGTGCATGTTAGTCTGTGTTTCATAGAGTATTTTCCTCTGCATCCCTGAATCTTTTTGGAACTTTGTCCATTTGACTTTCATTATTTCATTAGACTGGTGGCCCTCAAGGGCAAGGACCATTTCCTAGAGGCACGGAAACATAGAGTTGGAGGGACCATGCAAGTTTTTCCTTCACATATCTCACACAGTATGTGTCCTAAAGTTGATGCCCACCTACTCCAACCTACTATGGAAACATTTCCCTTTTTTTGTAACCCAACAAGCACAATTTAATACTTATATACTCTGTTCTGTTCTCTAATCCCTGCCCAAGTGTAGTGCAGGCTCCCACAAGCTGATTTCTTGTTATCTTTTTTAACTCCTGTAGTTCCCAGCACAAGTGCTGGATGTAGTAGGCACATAATAAATCATGTTGAATTAAATCAATGAAGCTATGTTTTGTTTCTGTCCCCCAGGAGCGGGGTGCCCTGAGCTTTGAGCGGCACTACCATGTCACTGATCCCTTTATCAGACGACTGGGCCTAGAAGCAGAGCTGCAGGTAAGAGATCCAGTTTGCTTCCCTAGATGCAGATGGCTGGCTCTCCTTTGCCTGCAGAGAATCCTTTCAGCATTATTCAAGTCATAAACAAGTTTTTCTGTGCAAGTCAAACCTAAAGTTTACCTTTGCTTATCAGCAGTATATTAGGTAGGTAAATCTGAATCAAGATTACAGTGGGGCCTTGACTTACGAGTTTAATTCGTTCCGAGACCGAGCTCGTTAACGCAAATTACTCAATCAACTCAATGCAAAAAATTGGCTGAGAGACAGCTGATATCTCAAAAAACCCGTTAGTCGGGACACTCGTAAGTCAAGGCCCCACTGTAGTTGAAATACTTCCTTTTTACTGTGCTTTCTCTGACAGATATTCCATAATGTTAGTTGCATTCCTTTTCTTCCTCAAGATTATATTTTGAATCCAACTTTTAACTGTCCTATCCAACTTAGTGTTATCTGCAGGTTGAGTAAGAATTCTCTTTGGTTCCTTCGGGTTAGTGTTTGTAAGTGATCATGTTGGTTTTAGAAAAAGACTAGAAAGAATTTATTGAATGTTAACAGTATTATCTCAAGGTAGTGAGATTATAGAGCAGGGGTGAGGAACGTCCGGCCCTCAGGCCTTATAAGGCCCACGAAATCATTGGTCAATGCATTAGGGGTGAGTTAATTAAATGTCTGACCAAATATAGCAGGCTAATTTTTAAAAAATATATTTTTATTGATTCCAGAGAGGAAGGGAGAGAGAGATAGAAACATCAGTGATGAGAGTGAATTATTGATTGGCTGCCTCCTGCCTGCTGGGGATGGAGCCCACAACCCGGGAATGCACCCTTGACTGGAATGGAACCTGGGACCCTTCAGTCTGCAGGCTGATGCTCTATCCACTGAGTCAAACCAGCTAGGGCAGCAGGCTAATTTTTAAGTTGATAATTTTGTATGACCCTCAGCCCTCGAATGACATTATAAATATCCAAATGACCCTTGGCAGAAAAAAGATTTTCCACTCCTGCTATCGATGATTGTGATTGCTTTCTTTTAATTATATAATTATAAACTTTTATCCATTACAAAATATAACTATTAATAGTAATATGGAAAACATAAGTAAAAATTACTTTTTAGTCCTCACTACATAATACAATTACTATTAGTATTTCATATACTCTGTTTTATCTCCTGTATAGTTTTATATAATTGTAATCCTACTTTACATTGAATTTAAAAAAAAATACTTTTATTGATTTTTAGAGAGAGGAAGGGAGGGGGGAGAGAAAGAGAAACATCAATGTGAGAATGCAAGAGCTTCCTCCTGCACTCACTCCACCAGGGATGGAGCCCACGATCCAGGCATGTGCCCTGCCTGGGAATCAAACCAGCAATCTTTTGGTGCATGGGACAATGCCCAGCCAACTGAGCCACACTGGCTAGGGCTAATTGAGTTTTTTCAAGTTAACATATAATAATTCTTTTTCTCCATGTTACCAAGTAGTTCTCATAACTTTTACTTAATATTTTTTCTGATTATAGAGGTAATAAACATCATAGTAGAAAATATGGAATAGACAGAAAAATGTAAAGAAGAAAACAAAATCACTTTTAATTCTATTGTGTACAGATAAACTTTGTTAATGTTTGGTGTACTGTCTTTGTTATGAAGCAGAATACTTGTTAAGAGATGGACATTGGAGCTTCATCCATTTAATTTCAAGACCTATCTTCTCCACAGCTATATAGCATTGCTCAAGTTACCCCTAGTTTCCTGATTGGTAAAACAGAATTATTGTGATGATTAAATTAGAAGGTTAGTGTGAAGCACTTAACATAGTGCCTGGATCTTGGCAAGCTAATTCAACAGAATAATAATTATGATTCTTAAATCTTCCTGTTTTTTCCCATGCTTTAATGTAATTTTTTTCCTACAGATGGATCTTGTATCATTTACACAGTTTGATAAACCCTTTTATACTTTTATTGTTTTCCCATATCTCTAAAAATTATCTGAAAACATAATTTTTGATATATTTTATTGTTTATCCTTTTTTTTTTTAAGTTTCTATGTTTCCTTCAGAACAAAGCTTAGAGTACATCCCTGTAGTGCAGTTGGAGGTGGAGCATGGAAGATTTTACCTTCAAGGGGACATTTGGCAATGCCCAGAAACAGTTTTGGTTATCAAAACTAGGAGGGTACTGCTGGCATACAGTAGGTAGAGGCTCAGGATGCTGCTAAACATCCTATAATATACAGGACAACAAGGAAAGTGCCACAAAGAGTTATGCAGTCCCACCCAGCCCAGCTGGTGTGGCTCAGTGGTTGAGTGTCGACTTATGAACCAGGAGCTCACGTTTAGATTCCTGGTCAGGGCACATGCCAGGTTGCAGGCTTGATCCCCAGTAGGGGGCATGTAGGAGCCAGCTGGTCAATAATTCTCATCATTGATGTTTCTGTCTCTCTCTTCCTCTCCCTCCTTCTCTGAAATAAATAAAAATATATATTTTTAAAAACAGAATTACACAGCCCCAAATGCCAATAATGTCGCGGTTGAGAAACCTGCTGTGGTTGATGCTGAATTGACAGTGACCCCTAGCTGGCTTGGCTTCTCCTTTTAGCTGTGCCTCTGTCCAACCCATATTATCTCACCATCTCTTCCTGGTTTGATAACTTTGTCCAGAATAGACTTGGAAACTTCTGTGACTACAAAACAGGATCCCATCTATTGTTTTCCAAGGTCTGCAACTCAAAAACAATTATGTTAAGGTGAATTGTTTCAATTTGCACTTGCCTAAAGGCCACCTTGCCCAAGACTTGTAGTAGAAGCACATAGTAGGAAGGAATGTACACAGGTTTAAATATTTAAAAGACCCAGTTTAAATCCCAGCTTTCCCTCTTATGCAACCTTAGAGAATTGAGAAAAGATTCAAAGAAGAAGACTGAGAGAAAAAATAAGTTAGAGAATCGGGGGTTGTAAGTTTGGAAGCCAGTTGGGTAGCTTTGTGGAGATATCAGGTAGGCAGTACTTATTGGGAGATAGCTCTGGATTATAGGGAGAAATCTGGAGACTTCATTTGTCCATGGAACATTAGAGAATAGGGTCCAAGGCCTAGCTCTGAGGCACTCCAGCTTTCAGAAGTTAATTACAAGGTAAGGAAATAGAAAAGGTAACTAGAAAGAGTAGGTCGGTGAGATAGAAAGGGAAGAAAACCAGGGAAGTGTAAAGGCCAAGTAATGAAAGTATTTCAACAAAGAAGGAGTGTTCAGTTGTACTCAGTGCTTCTGAAGGTTGAGTAGGATGGGAACAAAACAATGACTGTGGTCTTGACTAGAGCAGTTTTGTTTTTTTAAAATATTTTTATTGATTTCAGAGAGAAAGGGGGAAAGAGAGAGAGAGAGTGAGAGAAACATCAATGATAAGAGAGAATCATTGATTGGCTGCCTCCTGCATGTCCCCTACTGGAGATCAAGCCCGCAACCCAGGCATGTGGCCTTACTAGAAATCGGACCTTGACCTCCCAGTTCACAGGTGAATGCTCAACCACTGAGCCATGCTGGCCAGGCAAGAGCAGTTTTATTGGAGTGGTGGGAACAGATGCTAGATTGGAGAGTTGAGGAGTGAATTAGAAGTGAAGAAACAGCAACAAGTGTAGACAACTGTCTTTTTTCTTTTTCTTATTTTAGAGAGTAATGGGAATTTGTTTTTTTTTATTTATTTAGGACAAACTTTTTCCCTAGATGAAAGGAATAATAGAATATAAGCAGTAAAAAGAATAATCTTTAAAAGTTATATTTTCTTGCCCCTCTACATCTACTTTTTACCTTTCTTCAGCTCACTGCCTGGACAGCTGACTTGCACAGGAATATTAATGTTCTCTCTTGTCCTGTCTTTTGGTTTGCTTTAACCAATGGGGAGTCATTTCAGGAGGTTGGAGGAAGAATGACATCTTCTTTATTCCCCTTGCTTCCGCCCTTCAAAGTCATTTTGTTTTGTTTTTGTTTTGTTTCTCCTCCCTCCCCCAGCTTTATTGAGTTATATAGACAACTTTGAACAACTTTGTTTACAAAAGAAAGCAGAGGAATGGGGCAGTAGGTGAAGGGGTCAATAGGATTCCCCTAAAGAAAGGATTTGTAAGAATGGGAAGAAATGCTAGAGCATTTTTATATGTTGATGCGAGAGGAAGGGATTGCTGATATAAGAGAAGGACAGAATAACTGAAGGACCAAAGTCTTGGGGAAGGCTGATGGGTATGGGATTCAGAATTTAAGTAGGGGGGCCTTGGTCTCCCCGCCCCCAATATATTTTTATTGATTTCAGAGAAGAAGGGAGAGGGAGAGAGAAAGAGAAACAACAATGATTGCCCCCTGCATGCTTCCTACTGGGGATCGAGCCTGCAACCCAGGCATGTGCCCCAACCAGGAATCAAGCTGTGACCTCCTGGTTCATAGGTCGATGCTCAACCACTGAGCAATACTGGCCAGTTTCAACTTTGTTCTAAAAGTAAAAACTCTACAAAAAGGTCCAGAGCAGGATTACTCATACGCTTTCTCTATCCTTCATTGTATACCTTCCACCCCCTAGTGGTAACCAACTTCATTAGTTTCCACTTATCCATTCTGTGCTTGTGTTTGTGTTTGCAAAAATATGCAGATACACATATTTTTTTAAATTCTTTTAAAAAAAATATATTTTATTGATTTTTTACAGAGAAGAAGGGAGAGAGATAGAGAGTTAGAAACATTGATGAGAGAGAAACATCGATCAGCTGCCTCCTGCACACCTCCTACTGGGGATGTGCCCGCAACCAAGGTACATGCTCTTGACCGGAATCGAACCTGGGACCTTTCAGTCCACAGGTCAATGCTCTATTCACTGAGCCAAACCAGTCAGGGCCACATATATAAATTCTTATTTTCAATTTTGTTACATCAAAATTGACAAAAATTATATTAAAATAGCCTTTAAACATATGGAAAAGATATTCAATTTCATTCACAAGAGAAATGTAACTTCAAACTGTGTGGAGATGCCATTTTTCATCTGTCAGAATGGTGAAATATTCAAAAGCTTAACCACACAGTGTGTTGGTAAGTTGTGGAGAAACAGACACTCACATGCATTGCTACTGGAAAGGCAAAATGATGCAACTCCCATGGACGGAAACTTGGCAATATCTAACAAGACCACATATACATTTACTCTTTGGCCAACACTGCCTCTTCTGGGTTTTACCCTGAAGGTACACATCTCCAACAGTAATAAAATACATGTGCACAAGGTTATTCATTATGGTATTGCTATAATTGTAAACTATTAGAAACAACTCTTAAGAATCCGTACATGGGAAATTTGTTGAATAAATCTTGGTTCATCTACATAAAAAGTGCTATGCAACTATGAAAAAGAATTTTATTGATTGATATGAGTGATTTCCTAGATATATTAGTAAGTGAAAAAAGAGTATATACGTATATCTATCATGCCTCAACGATTCTGCATCCTCAACAAGTCCTCCAAGCCCAGTCAACCCCTCTATTCTCTCCTTACAAGCTACTTCATGTCTCTACTTCCTTCCCTATCTCCTAAGAATCAATGACTCATTACTACAACCATTCTCTTGCAACATTAATCTGACAAAACCCCAACCACAGATGATCTTTTAGCTTTCCTATATCTTTAACTTTCCCTTTCTCTATTGATTCCCCTTGGGGTTAAATATGCTCAAGCTTCTCTAATATAAGAAAGTCCTTCTTTGATGCCACAGCCACATCTAGCTATAGCCTTCTGTTTCTCTTCCCCTTCATAGCCAGACTGAAAGAGTAGTCTGTACTCAGTATTTTTACTTCCTCACTTCCCAGTACTGTCATGTGCTGCTTAACGACAGGGATATATTCTGAGAAATGCACTGTTAGATGATTTTGTCATTGTGCAACATCTTGAGTGTGCTTACACAAACCTAGATGGTAGAGCCTACTACACACCTAGGCTATATGTTATATCATATACGTGGCTCATCATTGACTGAAAATATCAAATATGGCACACAATGAATTCCTCAACCTACTTCTATTTATCTAACCATACACCACAAAAGTGGCTCTTGCCAAGGTTACCACTGTAGCTTTCTTGCCCTAAATCAGTGGACACTTCTTAGTCCTCATCTAGCTTGATCCGACAGTATTTGGTAGTACTGGACACTTCTCAACAAAACTTTTGTCATCTGGGTTCTGAGACATCACCCTCTGTTTTCCTTCCTACTCCTCTCGTGTCTTTCTTGATGCCCTTTGCATACTCCTTGTCCATCAGGCCCTTATGTTGGTCTTCTTTATGGCTCTGTCCTAGGCTTTGTTCCCACTCGGCTGTGAGGAAAGGAATCTCACTTTACAAATGAGGAGAATAAAACTGAGCATTTCCAAGGTCACATGAATGGTAAAAGATTAATATTTATATCAGGCCTGTCTGGCTCCATAGTTCATATTCTTTTGACTCCAACCATGTGTCTACTCTTTTTTTTTTTTTTAACAGCCACCTTTTATTAGGTGTTACATTACAATATGAAAGGATTCAGAGGTGCTGGGCAAAGGTCATGGTCAGGAAAATGGAGTCCACACTGGGCCCTCTTCAGCGGTACTTGTGTCGTTGCTCATGTTTTCGTTCCTTATAAGAACGGCAGTAGTTGGGAAACACATAAGCTGCCAGTACCATAGAAACGCCAGCAATGCCCCCTTTCTTCACATTGATGTACTTGTTGTAATACCTGTGGTAACCTTTAGGGGTGAAATCCTGCATCAGTCTCCAGCGTGGCAGCTCCCCTATTTTGACTTCCATCAGTCTCTTCTCCTTCAATGGCACGAATGACGCCATCTTGGAGTCCGGGGTGTCCACTCTGTGGAGCCGTGCAAGGACTCTGTGTCTACTCTTTTAAAGGAATTAACAAATAGTTCTTGGCTTGGTGGATTTATTCTCTTGCCTTATTTGTTTTCTTAATATTTTCTTTAAACAAGTTGCAAACATTATATATCTTACCTTCACAATCTGGCTTAATTGCTTTTGTTTTAATATAATTCGAATGTAAATTCACTAGAAACAAGTCATATCAAACCATGGTAATGGGATATACTTTAGAGACAGTGGTCTGAGAAAGCCATTCTGATGAAGTGATGTTTGAAATGAAATTTGAATATTGAGAAGGAGCAAGTAACAAAGATCAGAAGGAAAAGCATGGCCCTAGCCAGTTTTTCTCAGTGGATAGAGCATAGGCCCATGGACTGAAGGGTCCCGTATTCGATTCTCATCAAGGGCACGTACCTCAGTTGCAAGCTTGATCCCAACCTTGGTGTGCGGGAGGCAACCAATCTATGTGTATCTCTCACATCAATGTTTCTTTTTCTCTCTGTCTCTCCCCCTCCCACTCTCTCTTAAAATCAGTGGAAAAATATCCTCGGTGAGTTTCGCCTGTGTTGCACATATCTAGTTTGCTTCTTTTTATTGATGAGTAGTGATACACTGTATGGATGTACTACATTGTGTTTATCCATTCTCCGGTTGATGACCATTTGGGCTATTTCCAGTTTGGGGCTTTTAAAAATAAATCGTGTATAGATATTCTTAAACCAGTTTTTGTATGGATAAATGTTTTCATTTTTCTCAAGTAAATGCCTACAAATGGAATTACTGGGTCATAGGGTAGGTAGATACAAGCTTAACTTTATCTGGAACTACCAAACAGTTCTCTGAGGCGATGGTCGCAATGAGTTGTTCAGGGTCAGCTGGGAAGATGTGGCCCCCAGGTCCAAGTAATTGACAGCCAGTTGAAAAAAATGAGAGGGCTGAGGACAGAAATGATTCTGACCTAGAAAGCGTGACCAAAGCTATGGGTGGGGTTGCAACCAAGAGCCACAGGAAAGTGAGAGGCCTCAGGTCAGCAAGTGCTCTGACAAGTGTGGGCAGGGTAAATGTGTCTGCAATGTTTGTAAGTGCAGAACCTGGAAAGAAGTGAGGTTCAACCCAGATGAGACTCTGTATAGAGCAAAAGGTAAAAGGAAAGGAGAAGGCCAAGGAAAGGCCTTTTCTGATGGATAGGCAGGGATTAGATTTGTTCATATCTCTTCTTCCCATTAGTCCCACTGACCCATGTGTTCGTTTATGCAACAGATATGTGCCAAGGACTATAACTGGCCTTGGAGATGTAATGAACACAGTACACAAAAGCCTGCTTCTCAGGGCTCAGTCTGGTGATGCAAACCACCATGTCAACACAGAGCCATAATACAGTGTGACAGTAGGAGCCCACAGGAAGCGTATGCCTCCCTCCCAAATTCACACGACAGGAAAGGCATCTTCAAGGAAGTGCCTATAAAGTGAAATCTGAAGAATGAGTTGGAGTTTGTTAGGATGCTTTGGGCCACAAGTAACAACCCAATTCAAATGGCTTTAAACAGTTATGAATTGATTGGCTTACTTAAGTGGAAGTCCAGGAGTAGGCTAGGCATCTGGGTTAGTTGTTCGGGTCACTCTGGCTCCATTTTTCCACGATTCTCTGGGCTGGGCTTTCCTCCTTCAGTTTCACTCTCTGGCTGGCTTCCCTGGTGGTGGCAATTCCAGGTGTCACATCAGTACTCCCATCATCCAGAGGAAGAAGGCATCTCTTTCATAGACTCTCTCCTGAGAATGAGAAAACTCCTTTCCCAGAAGCTCCCAGCAACTGTCCCCCTTGCCTCTGATTGGGGTCACAGGGTCATTTCTGAGCCAATTCCTATGCCCAAGTGAATGCCACCTCCAATTTGGCTTAGGCGTAAGTTTCTGAACCTATCACTGGAGAGAACAATGGATTTTCCCTTCCTGAAACACATGGTCTAACTTGGACAGGGAGATGATTAGATGAAAATCTAGGTACTATCAGGAATGAAGGAGGCTGAGGGAACAGAAAGAACAGTATGCAGGAATTCCTAGTGATTTGTTTTCTCCTTTTCCCATGTAAGACTTGTTCCTGCCACCTCATACCTTCTGCTTTTCATGGATTCTGTTTTCTGGTAATTCTAGCTTTGCCATGATTTCTCTCTGTGCATGCTTTCAACCTCAGCATCGGTTAACTGCCTCACTCTCGGTGTTTCTTAATTCGAATCTCCAAGCTCAAGAAACTAGCCCAATGTACCTTACATACCAGGCTCCTTCTACCGGAAGTTAACGCAGAAGAGCAGGGACTGTGATTTGTACACTGATCTGCCCCCAGCATCTGAACAGTACCTGGTATGCAGTGAGTGCTCAATAAATTAAATATATGCCAAAAGAATGAAAGATCATCCTTGGGTCAGATGCTTCTCTGGGGAAATTGTCTGTGGTCAAGGGGCTATCCCCTCGAAGGGACTGTTGACATGTTCTTTCTAGTGGTAGGAGCAGAAATTTGTTTGGATCTCACTTCTGTTACTGTTATCTGAACTTAAGTTTAATTTTCTGCAAAATGGGACCAATGAAACCTGAACTTTATGACTCAGGGGTGTTCAATGACAAGTAAAATCATGACAATGAATGTACTTTCTATATTGTAAGATGCCAGGCAATTTAATTCAGTCCTGGTCACTCACATGCACCTGGAAAACATTGATGATGGAAAGATTAGTTTACCTGTTCAGTTCTACTTCTTGGTGTTGAATTCCCCAGGAGAACCTCTAACTGGCTCTCTTCTTATCCTTTTCTATTTGCTTACCCAGGGTCACTCAGGATGTGTCAACTGTCTGGAGTGGAACGAGAAAGGAGAGTAAGTATGAGCTAGAGCATGGGGGAAGGGGATGCTAAAGAAAGGGAGTGAGGCAGCTGGGAGATCCTCTTCCTAGATCTAAGGGAAAAAATGGACCCAAGTGAAAAGACTGCTGCTCTCTGCTTCGTAGTTTAGTTTAGTCCATCACTGTCAATACACAGTTAAACAATGAAGCCCAGATAGATGGAAGGTTGGGTGGCCATCCAAACCCTGTTTTTTTTTTGTTTTCTTTTGTTTGTTTTTTTGGGGTTTTTTTCAAACCCTGTTTTTTTAATAAGTCAATGCAGAGTTTAAGGAATAATGGCAAATTCTCAGGACAAATAGAAGAGAATCAGCCAATGTTTACAAGATAGCCTTAAAATCTGTGACATATACTATGATTTAAGTTCTGTGTGGCCTAACACCTTATCACCTGGGAAGGGGGAAAATTGCCCACGAACTTGGGGAGAGGTCAGAACCCCTCACTCTGCTTGCAGCTTGCTGGCCTCTGGTTCCGATGACCAGCACACGATTGTGTGGGACCCGCTGCACCACAAGAAGCTGCTCTCCATGCATACGGGACACACTGCAAATATCTTCTCTGTCAAGGTGAGCAGGATAAGCCACAGAGCCAGTGAACACGGCGACTGAGCTCTGCACATGGTTGTGTTTGCATGTGTGTTTCCCATGTACCCCCTGGGGTCACATACACCTTTGATCTGAGCATCTGATGGTGATTCCTGAAACCCCATCTCTTTTCCATATCCTGCTTCCTCTCTTAGAGCCAAATTAATTTATGTTTATGTGAGTGGTGATGGTGGGAGATACGGTTCTGAGCATGAATTTAGATACCAGGAAGACTGTGTGACTCCCTTATCAGCCTTTGGAAGCTATGTGAAGTAGGCAAATCACCTGACCTCTCTGAGCCTGTTTACTCATCTGTAGCTAAGGAAAATCCCTCAGATTCATGAATAAATGAGTGAATAAATAGTTTAATTTTGCCCTGACCAGGTTGGATAGAGTGTTGGCCTGCGGACTGAAGGGTCCCGGGTTCAATTCCGGTCAAGGGCGTGTACCTTGGTTGTGGGCACATCTCCAGTGGGGGGTGTGAGGAGGCAGCTGATTGATGTTTCTCTCTCACTAATGTTTCTAACTCTCTGTCCCTCTCTCTTCCTCTCTGTAAAAAATCAATAAAATATATTTTAAAAAAACAGTTTAATTTTAAAAAGGAAGTAGCAGTTCACAGGGTTGATGTTACCTGGCACAGGTGGTTTTAACTGTTCTAACTTTCATAGGAAATGGGTCTGCTGCTTTTGTGGTGGAGAGGAGTTGAGCTGAGGAGAGGTGGGAAAGGGCCTTACAGATGTCCTCAGACCTCTGGAGACCTACTATGGGAAGTGGCATGAAACTTGTCCCTTTTGATCCCAGATAACAGACCTAGGACAACAGCTATAAGTCCACAGAAGCAAATGCATGCCTGATGAAGGAAAGAATTGTCTAATGCTTAGAGCAATTTGGGAAAGGTAGAATGGGCCCTCTGAGAATGTAGCAAATGTACTAGCACTGAGGTATTCTGCTTGTTGGGAACTTTATCTGCCAGGTTTAACATTGGAGGAAATGACCTTTAAGAACCTTTCCAGCTCTGAAATTCTGTCATGGATGTATGTGAGAGTGAGGCTGTCCTTTCCCAGTTAATATTAAGAAGAATTACAACATACCTGAAGAAGGCAAATTCAAGAGCCCAGAACCTACTCACTTCCCTAAACCCTGCCTCTTTCCCAAGCTGTGATTCTCATCTCTGGCCCAGGGACCAATCCTAGATGAATTTCTGCTATTTTAGAGACAGAACAATGCTGATTCACCTCTCTCATGGCAAACAGAGACTGCTTTCTGCCCCTGAAAAGTTTTAGGACCAGTTTGAGTCTGTGGGGTCAGGTCTGGGAAAGGACCTATGTTTTGCATCATAGAGCACAAAATGTTAAGTTCAGAGGCCAGAATTTGACAATGGCCTTGATACTCACTCATAGTAAGACTTTGAGCAAGGCAGTTATATTCACAGACCTTCAGCCTCCTCTTCTGTTAAAAAAAAAAAAAAAGAGTGTGGAGAAGGATCCTTCTGTCTTCTGTTAGTAAAACACTAGATATACTTACAGGAGTGGGCATAGTTGTTCGTATGGAAAACAGTACAATAATTAATAAATAATAATACAAGAATAAACCTCATAGACTCACAACTGTAAACCTACTTTTGCCTACTCCTGTATTTAACCCTCGACTTCCCCCTGGTGGCTGCTGCAGTGTGTGACAAGTGTGGCAGTGGTCACAAGTTCTTCCCAAGGGTTCTCCTGTTATTTCTTTTGTGCATGGATTATGTGCTGCCTCTAGACAGGATTAAAGACTACTACTTGTGCCCTAGCTGGTTTGGCTAAGTGGATAGACTAGAGCATCGGTTTGCGGACTGAAGGGTCCTGGGTTCAATTCCAGTCAAGGGTACGTGCCTAGGTTTCGGGCTTGATCCCCAGTTGGGGATGTGCCAGAGGCAGCTGATCAATGCTTCTCTTTCATTATTGATGTTACTATCTCTTTCTTTCTCTCCTGTCCTCTCTGAAATCAATAAAAATATATATTTTTTAAAAACTACTAGTTGTCCCTAAAAATTATTAAATTCCATCTATTTCATCTAGCTCTTACCCTAGTGAGCCATTAGAGTAGTATGTGTGGCAAGAGTGAATTGTTGCTTTTGCATGAACATTTAAGTCAAGTGCAGCAGTTCTCAACTTGTGGGTCGCAACCCCTTTGGCGGTCGAACGACCCTTTCACAGGGGTCGCCTAAGACCATTCTGCATATCAGATATTTACATTACAATTCATAATAGTAGCAACATTACAGTTATGAAGTAGCAACGAAAATAATTTTATGGTTGGGTCACAACTTGAGGAACTGTATTTAAAGGGCCAGAAGGTTGAGAACCACTGGTCAAGTGGTTTAGTTGTTTGAATGCAGAGTGCTGCCCCCGCCCCCCGCCCCAACACCATTCAGCTTCGTGGGTTTTGAGAAACTTCAATTCAGAAAAAAAGATAATCCAATCTTTTGAACTCAAGAAAGAAGAGAAGAACTCAACACCACATCCAAATATTTCTTTTCCTCAACACTGGTGATAGGACAGCATACTTTTTTAAAAAACAATATTTTTATTGATTTCAGAGAGGAAGGTAGAGGGAGAGAGAGAGATAGAAACATCAATGATAAGAGAAAATCATCGATTAGCTGCATCCTGAAGACCCCAAACTGGGGATCAAGCCCGCAACACCGGCAAATGCCCTGACTGGGAATCGAACTCTGACCCTCCTGGTTCATAGGTCGACGCTCAACCACTGAGCCATGCCAGCTGGGCAGGACAGCATACTTTTTAAAAATTATTATTCAGACCTGGCCAATATGGCTCAGTTGGTTGGAGTGTCGTCCCGTACACTGAAAGGTCTCGGGGTTCGATTCCAGGTCAGGACACATATCTAGGTTGTGGGTTTTTTGGGTTTTTTTTTTTACCTGCACAGACGTTTATTGGGGGGGGCGAGTGGGGACCATCACCGGGGCTGCCGAGGCCCCATGACACGGGCGAGTCCCCTCGGGTGGCTCCAGGTGCCGGTAGCTTTGGCTCGGCCACGGCAACGCGTCATGTCCCACTTTCAGCACCAGCGCCCAAGCCGTCACCCATCACCGCACAGCCTTCCGAGGGGAGGGACGGCTGCTTCCAGGCCCCGCTGAGGGCTAAGGTCCTGCTTTGGGAGCGGAGACAGATGCTGCCGGGGCGTGGCCGGGGGCCGCTCGGCCGGAGGCCCCATCGGGTCGGTTCTGGTCTTCGTGGTCCAGTGCTGACGGCTGGGGCGGTTCCGCCTCAGCCTCATCCTGGGCTCTCTCTTCTGTTTGCTCCATTGATTCCTTCTCCCCTCGCGTCCAGAATGAAGAGCCAGTGATCCGAGCTGGTGGAGGCCTGGTTCCTTATCCCGGGCGGGGCACCGGTGGGGGGGCCGGGTGGGAGAGTCCCCTCCTCCTCACCCGGCTGATTCTAGCAGGTTCTAAAAAGCCGGAATTGGCCTCAGCTTGGAGCCAAGCAGGGCTGGCAGGGACACCCCAGGGAGAAAAGGGGGGACACATGTTGTGGAGAGCGGCTCCAGCGTTTGGACAGGTTCAAGCCTGGGGCTAATCTAGGTTGTGGGTTTAATCCCTAGTCAGCGCACACACGGGAGGCAACCAACCCATATTTCTCTCTCATGTTGATGTTTCTCTCTCAACTTCCCTCTCTCCCTCTCTCCAAAATCAATAAGTATACCCTCAGGTGAGGATTGTTTTAGAAATTACTATTACACAAATTATGTGGCTGTTTTGTTATTATTATGTCTAGTATTGTTTTCAAGCTCATCAGAATGGTGGGGGCTCTCTTTTTTTTTTTAAGAGAGCAGAAGGGATAGAGAGAGAAACATCAATCAGTTGCCACCCTATCGGAGATCAAAACCACAACCAGGGTATGTGTCCGGACCAGGAATTGAACCCACCACCTTTTGGTGTACAGGATGATGCTCCAACCAACTGAGCCACGCTGGCCAGGGCTCTTGCTGCAATGAGATGTATTCTCCTGGTGCTCAGCCCTTTCCCAAGGTCTGGCATTTGAGCCGTTCCTAGCATTTGTCATTATAATGAGTTCCACTCTGAGCATTTCTGCATAGGTCTCTTTTTCCTTTTGGAATCATTTCTCAGAACTAGGATTTTGGAACAAAAGATAGAAATAGTTTTTATCTTTCCTACCTATTGCCAGATTGTTCTCCAGAAATACTAGAACCAATTTTAAACACGCATTCCCTTAAAACACTGGAAGTCCCTTTCATTTTAAGACTAGTTTATGACTTAACCCGCAGACTATTCAGTAGCGGTCATGAGGCTGTATGGCATATGGGAGTCAGACAGTCATGCTGAATGTTTGCCAAACCTCAGTTTTTAATGGGGTTATTTTATTTTAACTATCAGTAAGATAAAGTACCTGCCCTGTTGTCTAGCACACGGTGGTAACAGCTATGATTATCATGGACTCAGCGCTTACCTATGGAAGAATCAGGAAAATGTTTCCTTAGGTAGTCTAGTCAGGACTAGGATGACTGGCAAAGTAAAGGTGCAGCCCCGATTTTGACCTTTAGGCTTGAGGACGGATGTTCGAGGTCCACAGCTTCCTGGTGGGTTGTCTTGGATGGGCTCATTTTCTTACCTGATGTGGAAAGAGAAAGAGGGCACTAACATGCAGGCAGTTTCCTCCTATGGCCAGCCCTACCTCCACCACCTGCAATCTCTTCTTCCATCTCTCCGGAGCAGTTCCTGCCTCACGCTGGGGACCGCATCTTGATCACGGGGGCAGCCGACTCCAAGGTGCATGTCCATGACCTGACAGTAAAGGAGACGATCCACATGTTTGGAGACCACACAAACCGGGTGAAGCGCATCGCCACGGCTCCCATGTGGCCCAACACATTCTGGAGTGCTGCTGAGGACGGGCTTATCCGGTAAGGGCCCGAGGCGTTGATGGGGCCTGTGCCTCTCTCTGCATGTTGGCTCCTCCCTCCCACCTGCCCATACCACTTCCTTCCACAGGCCTGACTCCTTCCCTCCAGCAGAGTTCCAGCCTCATTAGTCTGCCCAGAGCTGTTTGTGGACAAACTCAGCTGGGAACATTTGCTTCCCCTACTCTCACCTTCCCACTCTCTTCCCTCTCCTGCACTATATCCAGGCCTGCCGGCCTCCCACCACCTAGATGCAATGTCTGCCTCCTCTGGGCTTTCACACTGCTGTTCCCTCTAGCTGGTTTTCTCTGTACCCAGCTCTATGACTCTCTTACCCTAAGGAGATATGCTTAAGGGTCACCTTCTCAGAAGCACCTTCTCTGACCACCCTAAAGCAAACCCCTCCCCCATTATTCTTTGTCTCAGTGCCCTATTGTCACCTCTGTAACTCTAGTCTGCTGGATTATTTTATTTACTTGTTGGTTTACTTTTTTTTGTCTGTATCCCTAATTGAATAGTAAACTCTCTCAGAGCAGCTCCATATCTGTCTTACCTTGGGTTGTATTCGTTGAGCCCAGCACAGTGCCTGGCACATAGAGACACTTGATACATTTCTCTTGAACAATTGGTCAGTGGGCATATGCCTATAAGGGGGAGAGTTACCCAGAAATGACAAAGTGGACTGTCCCCTTTACCAGTGGCCAGTATTGTCACACCTTTGCCTCTACTTCCCTTCATCCTAAAATGGTCTCCTTGTCCTTCTTTAACTCCTCTCTTCAGACATGACCTTAGAACTTTTTCCTTATCTACCCAACCTGCCTTAACTGCCTCCCTTAAAACTCTGTAGGACCATGTGCCCTCTCCGCTGTTATAAAGAAGAGGTAGCTAAGTCATATATAAACTGTAACACAGCAATTAGAAGCAGGGCACTGAAGTCACACAGACCTAGGGTCAAGTCCTGCCTCTGTCACTCAGTGTTTGACTGGGGCAAGTCACTTCACCACTGAACCTTAGTTTCCTCATCTATAAAATGGGAATCACCATAGTATCTCCCTTGTTGGCCTGAGCATTGAAATTGACATAGTGCCAGTAAAACCTTAGCATAGTTTAGTAAGTCCTCAATGTCATTTATAGATTCTGTGACTTTAAGTGAAATGACATATAAGGAAACCAATTTTGCCATAGCCTCGTTGATATAAACAAGAGTTAAGTTCCCACAAATCTTATCAACATTATAATGAAACAACATTGAAGGACAAAAAACAACAAAACGATATTTGAGGACCTGCTGTACTTAAGACAGAAAGCACTTGTTTAGTGGTGAATACAATTCTACATTGCACTTGCTGCCCTTGACTGACCAGACTGTGTCAGACAACAGGAGGAAGCCGAGCATCAAGAATCTTGTGTAGGAGCCTCAGCACTTCGGCACGGGCACAGTCAGGGAAGGTGTCCTAGCAGAAGGTAAACGTAAACTGGCCTTCCAGAATAGCAGGGATTTGGATGGGCAAGGTAAAGCAGAGTGGTTCCCAGCTTGAGCGAAGCTTGTGAAGGCCGGGGTAAACATGGCTTGTACAGGATGGAGAGTACTGTAGTGTAATTGACCCGTTTAGAAAACTGAGGAACAAGGTTGGAGAGGGATGTGAAATCAGATCTTGAAAAGCAGACTGAAAAGTTTGGAAAATGTAAGCTAAAAGTACATTCATGCTGAAAATATTGAGGAATCACTGCAGTTTTGAGCTGGAGAGTTAGCTTAGAAAGATAAGGCAAACAGTGACGAGGTCATTGCATGTGCCTGTGTAACGGCAGCAGAACAGCTCCCCGGGTTGCAATGAGGGGTGTGTATTGTTGCCAGGTAGATGTTTGGCATGACCTTTGCCACCTACCTGGATGAGACTCTTGGGCTTCTGTTGGCATTTGGCGTTTCTAGGTAGCTCTTAGATGGTCTCCACATTCTCTTTTTTGCCACCTCCATACTTCTTTTGTTTCCTACTAGATTTACAATAAGAATTAGAATTAAGGAGCAGAGCAGTCTGAGGAAGCTATCCCAGCTCTACATTTAGTAGCAGTGTTGTCTCAGGCAGGTTATTTAACTGCTTTGAACCTCAGTGTTCTAATGGTACCAAGGGATGGTGTGAGGGTTTAATTAGGTAATACATGTGCAATACTGAGGGGCCATACTGGACACAAAGCAATTTCTCACTAAGTGTTAGTAATCAGTAGTAATAGTACTTAGCAGTAATACGGACATGTTTTTGGGTTTGGTTTTGTTTTTTAAGGTACAGTAGTGTTTACCTTGAGTTATGTTAGAATAAAGCACTGTTAGAAGACTGCTACAGGGCCAGGCACACAAGGGGCACTGAAGAAATGAGAGTGGTTTTTGACGTTCTTACAAACTGGTCCAGAGCCCCTCCCACTCACCTTGCATAACAAGGCCTTGGCTGCTTCTCTGCCTTTAACACAGGGACCCAGACCCCAGTCCCCAAACTCTGTCCTCTCTCACAGACAGTATGACCTTCGGGAGAACAGCAAACACTCGGAAGTGCTGATTGACCTGACAGAGTACTGTGGCCAGCTGGTGGAGGCCAAGTGCCTCACTGTCAACCCCCAGGACAACAACTGTCTGGCGGTCGGGGCCAGTGGGCCCTTCGTGAGGCTCTACGATATTCGCATGATCCATAACCACAGGTATGAACAGCTCAGCCTCCTGGGCAAGTCCC